GTCTATAACTTTTTATCTAGAGCTTTTTTTGAAAATTTGACCGGTAGTTTAAAGAATAAAGTTACTTGTTTGATTTTTCTAAATTCCATTTTTGTAAAGTGTTGAAAGATTTTAAAAATAATTCATTTTATTGTTGCGTTATGATTCTGACAACTGCAGAAAGTTGATCTTTTACCACCAGGGTTATTCTATACAGATCACGCTTTTTACCACCAATGATATTCTATGCAATGAGTACAGATCACGCTTTTTATACTCCCAGCGCATATTAAACGAAAAAATTGATTTACATCAGCCAATCATATGAAAGTCTTCCTATGACTTTGGAACAATTTATATAGCATGGTTGCGTGAATACGAGAAATGGAATCATGGAAAATTTGAACTGAAAGAGTTTAGAAATGAGATGAGAATTTCTAAAGTGCAAGCATATGCTATTTTGCTCTAAAGTTTAATTCTTTTGATTATTATGGAATAACTAAAAACCCAGCTACAAATGAATACTCGATAGTAGAGGTTAGAACCGGTTATCGAAATCGGATTTATAACGGGTTTAATTTATAACCGGTTCAAAAATTTTTCAAAAAGATTAATCAGTTTTATTATAACCGGTTGTAAACGATTAATCGGTTTTAATATAACCGGTTGTAAACGATTAACCGGTTCTAATATAACCAGTTGTAAACGATTAATTAGGGTAAGGGTATGGATTTTTGTATTTCGAAAAAATGTGGAGACAGTAATATAATCGAATCGGTTATACTACTATCTCCACATTTTTTCGAAATATAAAAATCCATACCCTTACCCTAATTAATCGTTTACAACTGGTTATATTAGAACCGATTAGTCGTTTACAACCGGTTATAATATATAACCGATTTATAACCGGTTGCAATTTTCAAGGTGTTATTAAACCAGTTTGTAAAAATATAACCGGTTCCAATCTCTACTCGATAGCGATAGTAATGGATTATTCAAAAAGATGGCGATCTTCGTAAATATATTTCCAAATACGAAAAATTGACTTGGAACGAAAAGTCAAGTCAATTAACGGATATAATCTCAAAGCTAGGTAACATTCACAAAGAGGGACTCGTGACTTTCACACGGGAAATATATTAAGGCATGGTGAAGCTTAGGCTCCGAACGATTCGGTAAAAAACCGTTACCGATCGGTCAGTAAACCGATCGGTACATGTATATAGATGTTGATCAATGATTAGTCTTTTAGTCTGCTTTTTTAATGTTTTCTTTTTTCAAACTTTGATTTTTCATATATTTAACTCATAATGAGTAATGAAATTTTTGAGGAGAATTGTGATAACCAATCACAGGAGGATGAGGAAAATGCAAGTAATATACTGAGTAATAGCAATAAACATCGTAGTATGTTTGGAAACACTATACTTTTGATAAATTTACAACAAAATCTAAGTGCAATTATTGCGAAACTCTTATTTTACAAGCTTTAAAAGATTTCAATTTAATTTGAAGTAAAATCGACCATAATGTCAAGTTTTAACACACTAAATGTTAATAATTTAGAAAATATTTGTTAGGCTCTATTCTACTTATATATAAAGTTTCATAAATTTTGCACATTGCTTCACGAGATATTATGCGAAACGTAAATAAATCGCTTAAATGCGCTGTAGCGGTTTATTTACGTTTTGCATAATATCTCGTGAAGCAATATGCAAAATTTATGAAACTTTATATATAAGTAGAATAGAGCCTAACAAATATTTTCTAAATTACCGAATTACCGTCTGTAATTAGAGGATGTTGGTAATTACCGAACCGTTACCGAAAATCTCGGTAAGATAACGGTTCGGTAAATTTCGGAGCCCTAGTGAAACTCAAACTGCTGATTTTGGACTTACCAGACCAGGAAAAATCCGATCAAAAAATTTGCGAAGTACTTCCTTATATGAGCCTGGAAAGCCATATACTAAAGCTGCAGATATTTACAGTTTGGGATGATTATGTGAGGTTGCCACAGGTGAACGACCATTTGGTAAACGTAATCACGATATACGCCTTCTATAAAGAAATACGACCTAAGATGCTAAATAATGTTTCTGGATCCTATTATAAAAAACAGACCAACTACTGAGAAACTTTACTACTTTATCTGGTCTGATCCATCAAATATGAGGAGTTGAAACCAAATACTTTGCATTTTTAGTACTACAATCTTTAGAATCTCCTAAGACACGCGAAGAAATTATTGAGTGTCTTAAACTTGAAAAGCAGAGATGAAAGTGTTCCTGCAAATATGAAGAAATCTATTTATTCTTTACTACAAAACCAATTTGAATTCCAAATGATACAGGTACATTCTATTTTTAAATAAATCATATTAACGTTAACATTTCACATTAATTAATTTATTTAGGGTGTACAAATACATGTACCAGCCAATGTCGAATCTATAAATGTCATAATGTTAGCATATGTCTCACGAGAGCTTGATATTGATGCTGAGAATGATAGAAAAGATGCCTGAAAGAATATCCAGACAGAACGTAAGCTTTCTCGTTAACAACGACGGAGTCTCGACGTTTTAAAATATTATATACTAGTTGATTTTTTTTAACAAAACTAGATTTCAAAGAGCATAAAACGAACAGTAAACGTCCTATTGAGTACATGTCGGACGAATCAAATAAAAGGGAAAAAATTTCATTTTTGTTGAAGTTAAAGGATGGTAAAGGTAGCAATTTTATTTTAATTAGTGACTTATGATATTTTTCGTGAATATCTTATCGTTAGCAATTTAGCATATTTTTTTATTCAATCCCTTAACGCAGAAATCGATTTCCGTTCATATTGATATCAATACGTATTGTATTAAAGATGGATTCTAAATTTTGAATACTCATTGTAATAAATAGATTATGGAATTATCGTTACTGCGATGAGTGTTCAGACCACAATGCTCGTGATTGTATTAAATGCAATTACTGTCCACATGTTTCTATTATCACAAACGAATTTATGGTCTATCGAGAATAAAGATATCGACAGTCTCATAAAAGAATGAGTAATAGATCTTTTGAATGGATCCTTTTTGAAAAGGTTTGCCACTTGCAAAAGGAGGTTTTGGAACAATTTATAAAGCAACATGGTTGCGCAAATACAATGGGTGGAATCGTAGAAAAATTACATTTAAACGACGTGGAAATGCGAAGTTGTGTTGAAATTATCACATAATTCAAAGCAAATAACATTAGAATTTATAAACGGGTAAATGAATAATTGTCAAAGCTTTCTAATACAATCAAGTTTTTAAAATGCGCTCGTAATTAAGTTAAATATTATGGAATAACGATAACTATAAACCAGCTACAGCAATATTCAATTATCTTCTATTTACTATTAATAACTTTATGTACTAATATTTGTTAATATTATTGCCCGTTAAAGAACGTTGTCATTGTTTATTTGTAGTCAGACTATTATATTTTCTTTAAAACATTATAGGCGTAGTATATACAGAAAACAAATGAATTTTGAAAATTAGTATATCCAAATAATTATAAATAATATCGATATTTGTTTACACACCAGATACTGTATCGGTATATAATTTTACCAAGTTAAATCAGACTAAACTACGTATTATCAACTTCGTACGTACTGCAAAATGTGAAAGTTTCCTTTCTTTCGTAACTTCGAAATTACTATTCATCCATCCGAAGATTATTTAATTATAGGAAGGGATTATTAATAGTAATGTAATTTTTGGTTGGTAAGGTTATTTAATTTTTATTATAGCGATTGATATACTAGATAGTATTATTTTAAATATACAATTCAGCCTTTGTACGTATATATGAGTAGATGCATCAGAAGTTGAAAGGCGCCTGTGTGACTTTTCTAGGCTTTGCTTGATGGGCATCCTTTTATAGAAGACAAAAGAACGGGGAAAACTATAAATAAAAGTCACCAGAGTATATTTGGCTCATTCTATTTTCCAGATGTTATAGCTGTGGCTCGAGACTTTTTAAATAGGAATGATTCACAGTAGAACCAATATCGATATAAATTTGCATGTATTAGGATGTACATGTATGATGAAGATTCGATAGATCAATATGAAATTTATCTAGTATAATACATTCCCTGTTGGATATTTTGACTAATTTTTCTTTTCCTTTTATTTGGTCAGATAAATAAGCTGGGGAAAATTTAATATCTTCTTGGCACTGCACCTAATACAAAGTGCTGATATTTTGTTTGTTATAAACTTTACGTTCCATCACTTAAAAATATTGTTATGCCATTTTAGATTTTCATTCATTCATGTAATTTAATTGCTGATTCGCATTCATATCAATGAACTAATCTATATAAAGTTCGTTACTATAAAAAACTCATAATAAATTTTATACCTGTGTTCGTTATTATAGTTTTTCCGGTCCGCATCATTAATTTATTTTACGATTTCCAAATCGACTATAATTCCTTTCCGGTCTGACTTGACGTGAATTTCAATAATTTCTATTTATTTTATTCATTTATTATATCATTCCGGCTTGTTTTAGCTATTCAAATATATAAACGATACGATTTCACTAATGATCATTAAACGTAAATATATGATTCAAGGAAGATTTGTAATTATTCTTGAGCTATATACGTGAAATTCAGATTTCTTAAGGATTTGAGCTAACCGAAAATGACAACTAATCTCCCATTTCAAAAAGGACCGTTATCGTTATACACGTAAAACATAGCGATAGCTATAGTATTGGCCAAGTATAGTATTTGATCAACTGACGCAAGTTCCGTACATACACATTATCGTTATGATGCAATTTAACGTTAATACATACGTATACTGTAATAGGCTCTGCATGTGCCACAAAAGCCTGAAAGTACGTATTTGACGCAGCCTCATTTTTTATTCTTATAAAAGAAGTTCTTCGCACTGCTCCAAGATTCTATCGCAATAATTCAATTCAATTCAAATTATTAATCCAATTAAAAAAATGCACACAAAACTTTCTGTAATCTTTTCGTTCATCTTCGCTATTCTTCTGACTTTGACGCAAGCAGATGAATTCAAACCACCCACCATTAAAGGTACTTACAAATACCAAGTAAATGCACCGAAGGAGAATCAAGAGTACACAAAGGAAATTACGTTTGACTACACTTTTGAGGAACAAAGGCCAAATGAAATCTTCTTATTGGATATTTATTTGCTGACGGGTGAAGACAAGATTTACACTTTTCTAGAGAAGGCTGATACATCTCCTGCTAATCATCGCCTTACACAAAACTTCCCGGAAACTTTGTCGAGTGGTGATTATACTGTTAGATACAATGAGGTTTGCTATCATTATCATTATCGTTATCTATTAAATCCAACTTTACTGCATTGTAGCGTTGTTTTTTACTAAGAATAATAATGACTTTTCTGAATTAATTAATAGACCAAAAATACCGGCATTTACTGGAGTACTGCATTTTACGTAACTGACATCCCAATAAAATATAAGAAATAACAATCTTTCACATACGTCCATGTATTTATTTGTATACATAAATATACTAAATCAATAAATAAACGAATAAAGTGCTATTAATTGGCTTTTCATAAAATTCAAAATATATATCAATATTAATTTTGGAAACACTACGTAAAAGTTCACAATTTTTATTCAGTATTACAAGTAACAAGCTTAAAGGATGACTAAATAAACTCTAATCATTTAAATCCATTTAATAATATATCTCAATTTTTTTCCATGATCCTCGAAAATTTCTATCCAAAATCAAAATTGATAAAAGTCCGATTTTAACTATTAAACTAGTTTTTTTTTAACTATCGCTACTGATATTTATTGTTTATTTTAATAATAATTTGTTTTGATAACAAAGTTAGGTCCAAACGAAAATAGCTATAAGTTTTGGCTCATGTACAAATGGCCCAACAATCATCCAGGTCAAAACGGGATATACAGTACGTAGTTACGTTAGGAATCGATGATGATTGTTCTCGGTGATTTTTAGTTCATGTACAGGCATTAATTATCGTTACGTATTATATGCGATATGTCAGAAATTGTAAGAATTATACATAAAACTCTTGTAAATTATAAAATATAAAGACTGACTGGTTCACGAGTTTCTTTCACATGGATGAAAGCTAATGCGTAAAAGGAAAGAGTATTACGTATTTTACATTTGATTTTTAGATGACGAATAATTAAGTGTATAAATTAAAAGCCGACTATAAATGAACATTGATAATTCTTTAACAGATAACAAAATAAGATTATTAATAGCAAATAGAATTTTGTCTTAAAGTAAACTCAGTCACATGTATAACTTGTGCCATATTACATGTAATAAACATAGCAAGTAAACGACGACAATATCGCAAACGAATGTAAAATGTGTTAGGACTATACGTACATGTTTCCGTATTCCCATATTTGGTAATTCTGGCATTAATACAGCATCTTATTAATACAGCCACCCGATTAATTACTAGTTAACAATTAGTAATTCATCTGACCAATTACCATGGGAAAAAGGTAAAATTAATTCTACCACATGTATAGTTAGGACCAAGAATGTAACAAAATAATGGTTTTTATTTAATATGCTCTAAATACACATAAGAGAAGTAAGATAAATCAATACAAAGATACAAGATTTATAAGTAGGTCTGACAAAGAAAGTACAAACCACTTTTGGTCAAATGTTGATTCAACGATCTAATTTTTTTTGATGTTAACAAATTTAAAAGATATAATGATAATTTTTATTTATAAATTAACACTTACCAATTAAAGAGCATGACATTAAGAGTATTTCATCATGAAGTTGTAATTGTTCTTGAAAGCAACTTGATATATGTATATTTTCATTCTTGTTAATATTATTATGAATTCGCTCACTAATTAGGAATTAGCTTGCAAATCTAAACAAAGAGTTGGAAAAGGAAATTAAAAGATAAGGCATCCAGTTTTATATCAATTTCTACTGAAATTGTCTATTGTCCAATTTGTAAGATAAAAGAAAAGAAATATATCACAGAAAAAAGAAAATTTTGAAATAAGATAAAAGAGATTTAATACTATTAAAACATAATAATTAATTATAACAAAAATTTCTTTTACTTTGTTCTTCTTACAAAAAAGAAATATTATATCTTTAACAAGTAAGAAATATTAATATAATAATTATAATAAAATATTAAATAACTAATTAATAACAAAAATATCTATTTAATAATTCCAATAACAACAATATTTTGATAAACTCAATATAATTCAAAGCTATTTGTATACAAGTTTTAAAGTATATAATTAAAAAATAATAAGAAAATAAGAATTAAAAAATATAATTTTGTACAAAAAGATTTGTATCTCAAATAATTATTAATAAATTATTTTTTTAAAATAAAATTTTAATTTTGTCTTATTTAATTAAGTTATTAAATA